TCGCGGCGAACACTGACACGACTGGTCAGAGCAAGAATGAAAACACGAAACCACCGGCGACATCGAACCGGTGACCAGTGAGTTGTCAACCCGACACGCTACGACTGCGCCAAAATGACTTCGATTACCAGCGGTGACACGGTGGTCAACAAGTTCCTGTTTTGGTGACACCACTGGTGACAGCGTGATGCTCACTTAAAGTTCATGGTGTCGAAGCTCATGAGGAGCTTCTCGGCGTCCTTGGTGGTGCTCGACTCCAAGTGGATGTAGGCCGGATCAACTATAGGCGCAATCAACGCATCAAACGGGCAAAGGATGAGCACGTATTCGTCTCAGCCACTAGGCACGCCATGATCGCGTGTCGATTTCGGTTTGCATTGCAAAGAGCAACATCAAACAGAAAGAGCAAAGAACTAACCGAAGGTCGAAGCCATGTCCGCGGGGTCCTCGAAGGCCAAGCCGCCGCGCAGGAACGAAGAGAAGTCGTTGACGTCGTCGCTAGTCGTGTGGTCCTGCGCCAGAGCGTCCATGCTCAGCGCCAGGTCCATATCGTCGTGGCCCACCCAGTCGATATCCTGATTGAGTCGGTCGTCAAAGTCCATTGCACGCACGTAGTCGTCACTGATCCATCCGTCCAGGTCGACTTTCGAACTCGTTCTTGAACATGTCGTCCAGACGTGCCTTCTTCGCGTCACCGGCACCGGGCCAGCACACCTGCAGCATGCGAACGCTTGTTGCGCTGTACTGCCGCGCTCTTTAGTTTCTCTTGTGGGGACAGGCACATGGCCGTCTTGCTCTCCTCGATGGGACTTACGGGGTTCTTCATCGGATGAGTTTTGCGATCTTTAGCGTTCTCTATCGGTCGGCGCTATTGCGATCCAAATTAGGAACGACTCGCCACGAAGCAGAATGAAGGTACGAAAACGACTGGAAGGCTATGGTCCAACACCAAGCAGTCAGTCGTAGCTCTAGTCGCGAAACGACACTGGTCGAAATGTGCGTGGCACTTGCTTCGACTGGTTTCGGCAATATTCAGATGGTAGTGCAATGTCTCGAGTGCAAAGTGCAACAACGAGGCACGAAGCAGTTTGTCACGGTGGTGAGAGACTTGGAGACAGATGGAAGATCGTCGGTCGATTCAACGATGCCGCTCGCCCACTGCAAGTAGCTTTGATCGCGCCCAAGCCGAGGAGTCCTTTTTCCGCAGAGGATTTCAAAATGGTGGTCGGCAAGGTCGCCCGTGGAAAAAAGCACATCTTTGGAAGGGAAGGCAAAAGAACAGATATAAAAAGCAGTATGGGCGGATCCGATCGACCATTGGTAGAAATCAGTGCTAAAAACGCTGATTGGTTCCAGCACAAATCACGCAACTCCGACACGATCGGACGAAAATGGTTTCTGTGGATGATGGCGAGAAGGGCCAGCCAATCCCATGGAGCGGTGAACTGAAGTTCAACAGATGTCTCCTTGATTAAGTATCGTCCGTTATCCATAAAATAAGTCGCAAAATTAACAGCACTAAGCGAGCAAGATGGGAGAGGAGTCCTTTGAAACACTTAAGCGGGAGGAAACTCGACAGAGCGTGGTCCTACTTGAGAACACCTTGCGGGCCCGACGACCACCGCCTTCCATTGCAAGCTTAAAAAATGACTTGAATGAACAGTGTTAAGGCATATACATGTAATGTTGCTCGCGCGGAGAGTATCTGCCTTCATCTTTTGCGAGCACAGTTTTCGAGTGCAATTAAATGCTCTCTTTGTAGTACATGTATGTAGGTACTGGTAAGAGTCCTCACAGAGTTTTCGTGCCGTATTTCCGACGCTCAGGATTATTTGCTCTGTGCGGGAAAGGCACCTGTTGCCGGACGCGAGGCAAGAAAGCGGACGGCTTGCATTTTATTCGCCGCTCGCCCCGGCTTTCGCGGACAACCCTGGAGTCACGAACCCGCTCGTGCAGCACGGTAAATGATCGAGCCTGACGTTTGCGCCCCAGAGTTTGCAGACCTGTTTCGAGCAAGGCTACATGTAATATATAAGAAGCTATTACCTTCCGGACGAATTGGCACTTAAGCTGCTTAACAAAAGCTGATTCCAATCGCGCAACTCAGTGGTCCACTGGGGGAGACCTACAGTACAGTACTCTACGAGTTCGTGAGACTTGCTTTTGTCTGATATCTTCAGTTGCTTTGTTTGCGCTGTCGAGGCGGAAACTGAAGATTGGAATGGCCAATGCGCAGGCAGCCTCGTCACGTGACAACTTGCACTCGCTTGCAGTGCACTGCCAGTGGCAGTGCCAGCGAGTGGCAGGGTTGGGGTGCATGGCCAACAGCCAGTCTACTGTACATGTACAGTTTCCTTTCAAATTGTAGGCGCTGAAAAGAGGCTCTGCTTGCTGCAAGTGCAAAGAGGGAAGAAAGGGGGCTAAGAAAAAGCTGCTTTTTTTGGAAAAAGCTCAGTGGCCACTGGGCCAGTGGTGGCCGTCATCCTTGAATCAAATCCCGTTCGAATCATCGTTTGATGGCATTGCTGCGAACTTTGCAGTGCGAAGACGTTTGACGAAGCTTACAGGATACCTACATGTCTTGGGCGAAGTGTTTGCCGGGAGGTCCGCTATCCCGGGCCGGGATGGCGGTCCAGTACGTGTACTGTTTGAAAGGTGTGTCCGATGATTACGGTCACAAAGCAAAAAAAGCTTTTTTATCGTGAATCAAAGCGCAAATTCGGTTGGTCCATCAATTGACATGTGAAATTCCAACCCAGGCATGAAAAATTACAGCAGAGATGCATGGTACCGGTACCAATACTTCTAGCCTAGCGAGCGCATATGGTAATACGTGTAGCCAGCCTACCGAGCTGACCTGTACAGAAATCTGCCTGAATAGGGAACGCCTGATATAAATTAAGAAAGAGATTGCATAAGCTGACAATGCCTCGCTAAAAACAAACTATGATGTGCATGTATTGAATTAAGTTAGGATAAATTGAAGTTTCGACTTTTGGATGATTCCAGCAGTGCTGAATCGTAGAAGCGCTAACTTTAGACCATGCAGCCTCGCACCAGAGCAGTGCAGTTAGCTGGTCGACGTTGTACGGGTTGTCGAGGCCTTCGCCTAGGCGATCCAATGCGAACATCATTTTTTGTGATAAGACGTAGCGTTTAATGCTATTGATGATCCCCTGATCCAGCGGCTGGATCTTGGCGGTGGTGTTCGGGGGTAGCTTCTCAACACGGACGTTGCTTAGAGACAGACCAACCTCATGGTGAGGCGAAGCGTTATCTACCAATAGTAGAATATTGCGATTGTGGGCTTACATTCTCTCATCCAGCGCCACCAGCCACTGTTGGTACATCCAGCTCGTCATCCAGCCCCGAAGTAGTGTAGGGAGGAGGGCTTTTTGTCAAACCACCGCGGCTTAGCTGCCGTTCCCAGGTAAAGAATAGGCAGCTTCAGCTTTTCGGAACCATCTGCATTCGTGCAGACGGTCATCGTCAGCCTTGCCTTGCTTTGCTTCAAGGCAGGTGCTGAACTTTTACAAATAGAGCCCCGTGGTACGGCATTGTAAAAAAACGCGCTCTCGTCCATGTTAAAAACATCCCAAATCCGGAAGGAGCTGATAAGTTGCCTTAGACGCTCAATATATTTCTTGCAAGCGTCCAACTGGACAGCATCAGACTCCCCAAAAGAACGATGCCAATGAAAGCCGTAACGCTCTTGGGAACGGCGAAGCCATGATGGCCCCAGCCGGGGGCGTTGACGTGGCGGGATTCGGAGCTTCAGAATGAGCTCACGAGCATGTTGTATGATCATTGCGCCAGTTCGACACACACCTTCCACTTCAGCGAGAAGTACGAACTCAACGACGTTTTCGTCGAGGAGAACGTGACTTAGGGGCTGCGCCTTCTTGCGTACAGCCTTCTCCACAGGCCGTCCGCGCAGCACAGCACTTGATTTGAGCAAACGGCATATTGTCGTTTGCCGGGGGCCGTCGGAAGCCCAAACTCTTGAACCGCCCACTCAGCTAGCTCATTGTACGACAGACTAGATGAGCGAGCAGCCTTCTTGAGGATGGCTACCTTGTGAGGCAGGGACGATTGGAGGACATGGGGGTGCTGAGAATGCAGTCGGCTAGTGAGCTTGAATGTAGGAATGAAGTTCGGCTCGTAGGGCTTGAAGCGAAGGAGGATCACCTGCTGCGCGCCATTTTTTAAAACGAAATCAAAGTCAGTGCCTGGATTGTTTTGTCAGTACCATGCCCATCACTATCCCATCTCCCTAAATCTTTCCCGACTATAAAAATTGCGAGGTTATTAGTTGAAACCCCGATCCTTATTCAGGCAGATTTCTGTATTAATATGGGGAGGGAATATAACAAACACAGGTTAGAATCTGAATAACACCGTAGCCCATCACCCACAATAGGGCAACCTGGTGCTCGGCTGCGCACAGCCTTGCACAGGAGATGGATGAGCAGGCAACGTGCATCATGGTTGGCATTTGTGACACTAATGTGACTACGAAGTGTGGCACCAGTGGATCTTTGAGTGGCTTTCTTCATTGTCCAGAAAGCCCCAGCAGCCCCAGGGTCCTGACCAGCCAGCGCCGTCCAGCGCACACCACAGGGCGATGCCGGGTCTCAGCGCGTCGGAGCTGCCACCGGAGGCGCTCCACGCTGGGGACACGATAGAGTATTTCTCCCGTGCCTTTGTCTGCGGCGACCACCGAGGGTATCGTCGCGCCGTCGTCACCTGTGTCGACGGCGGTGACGACGTGGACTTCCCCGTCACTGTAAGCACTGAGGAACCGATACCGACGGACATGATGGTCAAGAAGGTGAGAGACTGCCTCGGCAACCCCCTGTCACGCGTCAAGACAAAGTGGCGTAAGGTTCGGACGCTTGAGTTGGTCCCAGGAACTTTTTCCGCTCCAACGAGGTCCAGTGTGCTGAATAGTGCCCTACAAGCGGCTGTCGCAGCGGCATACGAGGCCGTTCGTGGAGAACGTGAACATGTACCCGAGGAGATCGTGCCGGAAACGCCACCGAGCAGCGCAAGCAGCTCCCCGATCATACAGACAAACCAAAGCCACGTCGTGCCACCAAGCACCCCACCGCGAGTCTCTACTCCGGATTCGTTATATGCAGGAGGGTCTACGGTATTCGGTGATAATTCTCCATGTGAGGAGGACTCTGGAACGTCAGCGGTGAGAAAGACAATTGACCTTCTAACACCCGACTCCGACTCTGCTGTGTCCGTCCAGTCGATACCTAACCGACACGCCCGCGCCAAGATCCGCCACCAGCCGAAGACGAAAAGGGCGCAGTGGCTAGTTCCAAGGTCTAGAAAACGCAGAAACCTGGCAAAATGTGCGGTGACGAGGAGCGGCTCTATGATTTACCACGCGAAGACCGTCAAGGCGGCGAAGTTTAATCAGCTGCAGAACAGCCCCGAGATCAAGAAGGAGTTAGATATCCTGCGCAATAAGCGGTCTACGTATTCGGATCCTGAACAGAAGCAGTCCCGAACTCTATGTAAGACTGTAGCCTGGCCAGCAGAGATCGAGAGGATCACCACGTGCAAACGCAACGGGGTGAAGTTTCCAGATATTGGGAGCTACGACTCGTGCAACTGCTTCGGTGACTGCTTTTGGGATACCTGCACGAACGTGGCATCGGCGTCCTTCTGCATGCCCCAATACTGCAAACTGGGCGCCATCTGCAGTAATGCACCTCGCACTCATAGCTCGCTGAAGCTGTTCGATACTGGACGGGTGGGGCTCGGCGTGTACACGACCACGGATCTCGATATCGGAGACGTACTGGGTGAGTACTGTGGAGAGCTGTCAGAGCTCCCCGCAGTGGTGGAGGGGCAGCCACAGTCCTGAACGGTCTAATGACCCACTGCCCGTAGAAGTACTGAGCAAACGAAATTAGGGTCTGGTCAGCCATCCAGCGATCCAGAATACAGCGCAGCATCTCCATATAGTGCCCTTTGTCTCTCGCAAAGTGCAAGTCGTATACTTCTCTAAGCACACGAGCTTGTGCGTCCGAGAATAGAAGCTTGACCCGCTCCTGGACGTGCTTCGTCACATGGAAGAAGCACATCAGGAAGCAAAATCGCGGGTTGTCCCCAAAGACTGATGCGAGAGCATTGAACTGAGCTCTATCGCCGTCAGCCATCGCGTACTGAACGGTCAAATGGTTTCCTGTGATCCACAAGTATAGGCGTCGTAGGGATAGCAGCGCTGCCTGGAACATTGGCTCAGTTTCTTGTGACATCACAAACATAGCCACCAAGTGAAATCTGCGAGAGCGGTCTGAGACCCCGACTACCAACACGGGGTAGTCCATCTGGTTCGTCTTGTAGGTTCCATCCAGGTGGAGTATGAAGCTCTCAGGCGGGACCAGTAGCCGTAGCATCAGTGCTTTTGTAGTAATCCCAACTAGGAACGGTTTGTGGTCCGAGCCGTTGCCGATAAGGGGCAATCCAGCGTTGTCCAGATCCCACGTGAACGTGACGGGCTCCGTCATGGACTTCGAGGCGTCGTAGGCGTGCTCGCGGACCCACTTCGTCAAGTCCTGGACGCGGTCGTGGTTTTCCATCTGCGTCGGGGCGTAGTGATTCACGAAGTTTTGCACCGTCTTCAGCGCTGGTAGTTCCTCCCAGTGGGGTGGCAAATTTGCGTACCATCGCGTGTCTTATCCGCATGGGTCGCAGGTGGTTCTGGACCAAGTCCCGGCAAAACCCCTTCTGGACCTGGGTCAGCTTCTTGCGCACTGGGATTGGTAAGGATGAGGAGGCCGATGTGTGCTCTCCGAACTCGAAGACGGAGGCCCGCTCAGACTCCAAGCACGTCAGCATCTTTTCCCTCCATGTGCACCTCACGGGGCTCGCGTCGGTGCAGAACGCTGAACTGCATTCTACCAGTCGATACCGCATCTTGTGGTCGCCGCCTGGACAGATTGCACACGCCATCGCTTGGGACTTATGAATGTCAAAGGGCTTCAGGTTCGCGACCACCGTCTCGGCTTCAGCGCCGTCTACATCTACGGCGATCTCTCGCCAGCTCACCCGTGAAGGCATGCTTGGTCGCTTTTCGGGGAATGATGTGGGTCACACTGCAGAGGGCTGGTCTCCGCTGGCCCAGTTTCACCTCCAGGCACCCTTTTTGCGTGCTTCCCGTATTGTCCGCTTGTACTGTGCTGAGTACTGTGCTGACACGCACTGTTGTGTGGAGAGCAGCTTCTACGGTGCTGACACAGATTTCTTGTGCCATGGCCATACTGTATGGTGTCAGTAAGGCGTTCTCTAATATCGGTATTGCTGCCTTATAGAGCGCGTCACTACCGGAACAAGACCGTTAGAAGCTTGCGTTTGACCGCACAAGCCTTTGCTTCCTCTCTGGCAGTTCGACTATTATTAATAATGAGTGACAGGGGTGGTAAACAGAGCTAACCTCTAGCTTGCAATGTGTATGGCGCATGGTAGCCGACCAGGCAAGCGACAAGTGGATGGCTGTCGTAACCGGTTGGGGACGCGTTCAGCATTAACGTGCAGCCTGTCAAAGGTTCTGTCTGGGCTGGGATATGTTGGTAGCGTACAGGTAGTACTCTGGGCTTGTCTCGCCTTTAAAAGGCATTGCACCACGTGAGCCTTCCTATTATACCGGTACAAGGCAACCTTGTTGATGTCAGGGTCGCCTGCTAAGCTGCGAAGGCACTAAACATGCATTTATGGACAGCGCGATAGGGATGAGCACCCAGCGCTATCCATACGCTAGAGGCAAAAGAAGATGGCACGTTTATTAAGAAAAAATAACATTAATTTCCTAACAGACGCTTTGTACGTACGAAGCTACGCAATGTGCCGCAGACATTGACGGGCAGACCAAGGACGATAACGACGCAACAGCCAATAGGAAAAGCTGGGAAGTGCTGGAATGACGACCTTAGCCCGCGAACACAGCCCAAACAGTCTGCTCTATTGTACTGCAGCCTTTACACACAGCAAGTTGCGAGTAAAAGTACAGTAGATGTCAAGTTCGTCACTTGCGGCTAACTCTAGCCACGGGGATTCTCAGCAGTACCGCGACAAGTTCGTGGCTCTTCCTCCGTATGTGGCTGCGGAGAAGCTGATCCGGTGTAGGCTATTAATACGCTGTAGCTGAGCTACAGCGTAGCCTACACCGGATTAGCTTCTCCACTACTAGCTGGTCTGGCATTCCCAGTCTTGTGCTTTGATCTTACCGAATAACCTTAGTTATGAATTACTCTTTGTTATCAATTACACTTCAATGTGGCCAATCAGAAGCCGCCAAACGCTGAGTGAGAAAAGAAGCCGTGCATCCTTAGTTATCAATTACACGACTTGACAACCAGTAATTTGCCTACATTATCTAGTACTGGTCTCACTTCTCAAAGCCGCAGATGAGTCCAACGCAACGAAAACGCCCAAAGGGGAGGCCTCGCCTACCTGGTGGCAAGGGCCGCCAAGCACCAACGAACACCATTACGGTGTACACTACTTCTCACAAGCTGAGGGTACTAGAGTATCTAGACAAGAACGGTAGTATTGCGTCCGCAATTCACAAGTTCTACCCTGATTTACCAGCTAGCAAATTTAATTGCCGCCGTATCCTCATTTATTCATGGCGTCGATCTCTTCACAAGATCGTCGCTGCGTGTACAGTCCCTAAAGAAGCCAAGAAGATGAAGGCACGTTGTAGTGGTGTAGCTACCGCTCTACCTTACTCAGTAGAGTTGAAACTTGTTCGCTGGGTCGGGGACCTACGGGACGAAGGGGTGCCAGTCACACCAATGATGCTAAGGTTGCAGGCACTCACAGAAGCTAACGAAGCCGGTATCCACGCGTTCACGGCATCCTGGAGTTGGCAGAGCCTGTTTAAAGGCCGCCATCGCTTAGCCCTTCGAGCTAAGACCCGCCAGGGTCAAATTTGCCCTCCCGAGCTCGACCAGATTGCAAAAACATTTGTACATGATCATTTTCGTGAACTTGCTTAAATTTAAATAGACTGTTTGTTCGAAGATACCGATAGCCGGGACACGCAATTTCTGGTCTCTGCACTGCAGATTGGGTGTAATGCATAGCTAAGGTAATTCGGTAAGTACTTTGCACAGCCCTCGGGATGGGCAAACCACGTTTAATACCGACACACGTACTGACGCAGCTTTTGTCCAAACCCGTGTAAGGCAGTGTGCAGCGCCGCAAGGACTGGTTGTTCGTGTTATTTTGGTCCTCAGAAGCACCATTTTTTGAGTGAGGGACGTCCGCCTTCTAACGCCCAGCACCAACTCCGTATGCATACTCGGCACTCTACAAAGGTCGGCCGTCAAGCACTACATGG